CAAGGTGGGCGTGTGAAGGCAGACTGGACTAAAGCACCGTTTACTGCTTCCTACAGGAAATTCAATGCCAATGCCAAAAGAGTTGGTACTAATTCAAWGTCAACAAGCTCTGAATCTGACAACCAGGCGTGGAGTACTCAAGGACTTGATGCAGCTGGCCGAAACAGGATTAGATGGGTGCAAAACAAGCACATGATCTACAACTACTGCAGTGACCRCAAACGGTTTCCCAATGGTCTACCTGCTGAATGCAAGAACTCTAGATTCCTTTAACCCTACGCTGGATCTTGGTTTGCATATTTCATTTTCATCTTTTGATTGAATTCTGGTCTTAAATATTCGTTATTCTTTGTCCTCGATACAAATTATGATTATAAATAAATACCAAAGTGCGTACATATATTAATTGCTATTCTTCTACCWCATATATAAGCCTCATGACGTTGGAAATTGTCTTGGGTAATGTGTTTCCAACATAAACATTTTCGACCAAAGTTTCCTTCACCAAGTAATGTTTCCAACGGCCTACTGTGTCTTAGAATTGTTACACTTTATATCTCTTCAATCATGTGTTTAATTACCTTTGCTACGTAATAGAATTATAGTTATAAAATGAAAGAAGCAATGTGATGACAAAAATGGAAATGAGATAAAGACGCCTACAAGTAAGTCTGGAACGAATTCCATATTTGCCTAATTTCCTCCCTGGCTAAGTCGCCAGTAAATTGATGCAAGTTTTTTTTAAGTATATAATATTTATATATGGTAAATAAAACAAATAAACTCACACACCCTTCTCATCTTTGTTGAGGTTTGAACCATGACCTCGCCAAAGACTCACATACCCCAAAGCAAAGGCCTTTTGATGAATTGATGTAAGTTCTATATTCATGCCGCAAGTGTATGGGTGGTGTAACATACAGGTTGATCTAATGGTTAAGGCAATGGACTAAACAAGGATTTGTCAAATTGAATTTAATTGATGGATTGATAATTAAAGTAATTAGACAGAAACAAATAAAGAAAACAAGAAATGAATGAAACCATCAAGGAACCAAACAAAACGAGACAAACTACCTATGAATGGGCATTGGGTAATGTCCATTCTGATTTTCAATAATGGTGAGGATTTTTTAAGCAAAACTAGTTCAAGCTGCCTCTTCAGAAGTGGACTAGTTTTCTTGAACCAAAACCCACTTTTACTACTATAATATGCAAAAGTTAAACACATTAACCTTAAAAAAATATTTTTCCCAATCTCTGTCTCTAATTTTCATGTTAAGTGAACACATGATCAAAATCAATTAACCAAACACTAACTTCAGCTAGGGAAAAATCTATCAATTGAATCTCAATGTTAACAATTGGTCAATACCAAAACATCGACCCAAAGCGACAATTAGCCAATCAAAATAATGTCGAATTAAACACCAAATAACGAATTGTTTTTGAATCTAATTACACTAAACATTAAAATTAGGATAAACAAGCAAATTAATTAATCMCTACATTAAAACTAAATTCAAAGGAAAGCATAAATAAGAAATTAAAAAATAACTCTKAACATATGTTTGAGGAATGTTGTAAAATTCAGAGAAATAATAGGTATATAGTACGGATAAAACTTGAATAAAACCGTGCGATCATGTAAGAGATAGATTTCCTTAAGTTGTATTTGGACACTAATTTTCTGTGGTTTCACGAAATCAACTCGAGGATAATCTCAAATCTCAATCACGATCCTCGCATTCGTTTCATTTTATTCTTTGAGAATCGTAACGATTCCTAAATCGAAGTCGAAAATATTAGCCCGTTAAATGGAAATCACTAGAGTATTAGTGGGCGGTTAACGGCACAGCAGTAAAAAACGACTTACATTGATCAGAAGGCATCAAATCTTCTAATTTTTCAGAGTCGGAAGCCCTTCCGGTTCAAGGGCTTAGCTCTTCAGAATCAAAAGCTCTGACTCCTCTGAGTCAGAAGCTCTGGCTCCTCGGAATTAAGGCATCCGAGTCAAAACCATTTCAGAATATCAAAAGCTTCTAAAAAACATTAAGAAGCTCGATTTTCCAACCACATTCTTTATAAAATTAGGGGTGTTGCCCCATGGACCTCACAGAGGGGTGCGGCCCCTTGTACACCAACGTGTGGCACCATCTAGTGATCACGGGTTCTAGTTAGCTTACACGAATGTACATCCCACACCTCATATCCCATGATATTCTCTTGTGAATCCAACCCCATATATTCTCTTGTGAATCCAATTATACAAAATGAACTGACTATTTCACTAAAGTCACCAAATATTAACAATTAACTTTGAACATGTATAGAAAAATATAAACTAGATATAGAAAATTATAAAGTGCATAAAATTATAAAGATGCAAAAATTAAAAGGGCAGTAATTGAAATGATATAGAATCATATAAAGAGCATAAATTAAAGAAGATGCAGAAAATGAAATCAACAYAGTGCACGAAATAAGAACCAAGCCAATTTAATAGGATGAACAATAAAAAGAAATCATGAAAAAACTAATAATAACAAACTAGCTAACTAAGAACATCAAAATAACTGCATAATAAAAAGAAATATGGAGGATGATAATCGAAATCATATGAAAAGCAATTGCAAATCGAGATCTATTGGCATAAGCTTGTAGAACAAGAGTTCTTCCTCCCCAAACTCAAAAAKGCATAAGCTAAACTAGAACTTTAGAGAGTATTTTCGTTCTAATATCTAAAGCACATCTGAATAATGAAAAAACCCTAAAAACATATAAATATCGTAGCAAAAAGACCAAAACGTACTTCAAAAATCGGGATACCAAACACTGTTCACAGTTGTAAAGGAATCCTTCATGCCYGTAAAAGGAAAACGGGAAAATGGCCAAACTTTGGAACAATATTGCTTTACGACCGTCAAGAAATCATTCATGGCCATGAAGTAGTGGAAGATAATTTTTCATGTTCTAAAGAGTTATCTTCATGCCGAAGCATCATATTTTTCATCGACTCTTCACCAACAATTAAAAAAAATTAAACATATGTAGAAAAAGATAAATTAGAAAAGAAAATTATAGCGCATAAAATTATAAAGATTCAAAATTAAGCATGTAATAAACGAAATGAAATGAAATCAACAAAGTGCAGGAAATAAGAAACAAATCCAAAAAATACGATGAACAATAAAAGAAATCAAGAAAAACTAATATTAACAAATAAGATTGGTGCAATGGGTTTTAAAATTTATAACCATAAGTGTACAAATGTGTAGCATCCGGGTMGATTACGAGGAGAGGATGGACTAAATATGGATTCGTTTTATACTATGACCTAGCTACGAGAAGCATCAATCAGTTTAGAATGATTTTATTGAAAAGACTAGAAAGAATKACWAGTCAATAAAGATAAAAGCTAACGAAAATTGGATGATGTCAGTCTTGGATTTAAGTGATGGTGAGTATTTGTTGTGTAAAATAATTTAACCCTCTTTCGAAGTGGAAAAACTTTTCTAAACCAAGATTGAGGTGCAAAAACTTTTCTAAACCGAGATTCATGGTTACTTTCAAAGAATGCATACATTGGAAAGAAACATTACGGGTAAAACAAATATTTTCACCAGTTTACGTTCCTAACTATTTTTATGTCAGAATTGTAGTCATTGATCAATATAATTTCAAATTAAGATCAAACTATCGTTCATATCAAAATTTAACATATTAACTAAACATTTTATAAAAATCAATTAACTAAACGCCAATTTATATCAGGTAAAAATCAACCACTTAAAACTTAGTTTGTTATATAAACAATTGATCACAATGTCGATCCAAACAGACGATTACCACATCTCAAAGTTTATTATAAAAACAATTGATCAATACCACAACGTTGGTTTGGTCTCCTATTCCATCATCTTCACTTAATCCGACCCAACTCTAAGTACTTAATCCACTTTGTTTTTATAATAAATCTTAGAAACCTAAATCCACATTCATGATCACTGTTTTAGTATTAAAACCCGGTCAAAATCTAAATAAAACCAAAAAGGGACACTAAAATAATATCTCCAACGCATATTAAACGAAAGTTAACTAAAAACAAATAAAAACTGAATGCAAAAGCTTAAACTGAATGCAAATTGCAATTATAAACTAATATGAATATTGCATGCATAAAATCCAAATGACAAAGCTAACTAAGAACAACGAAATAATTGCATAAACAAAAAGGAACGTGGAAGATGATACCCAAATTCGTATGAGAACCAATTGAAAATCGAGATCCAATGCCAAATCGATCTAATGTGATCTAAAAAACATTTGAATAATGAAAAATTTTCCTAAAACCGTATAAATATTATGGCAAAAAGACCAAAAGGTCCTCCAAAAATGGGTCTACGGGAACCGTTCACGGTTGTGAAGAAATCCTTCACATCCATAAAAGGCGAACAGAGAAAATGACCAAACTCAAAAACAATGTTTTCAACAATAAACTTGTGTTTCCACCGACCTATGGATGGATGTATCCGTTCATAAGTGATGATCTTGACGTTTTAAAGTTAAACGTAAATGATCAAGATTTTCTGAATACTTTCAGATTGCCTCGTTGACTTCCTTTTGCAAAGCGCAGGATGGTTCCTCTTGAAAATTGTGAATGTAGCCTAAATCTGAAACCATTCTAAAACCTATATAAACCATTCCTTCCCACAAATCTAACACGCTTCACCTCTCTTTCTCTCTCTAAACACTACTAATGGGACTGTCAAGCCATTCATCTCTAAAGCTTGTGCACTTGCTTTAACAATTTCATATTTGAAAGTAGCAGCTTCAGCCAGAAGTTTTTACAATGACATTGACATTACTTTTGGAGGTGAACGAGCTAAAATACTCAATGACGGTCAGGATCTCACACTTTCGCTCGATCAATACTCTGGCTCTCGTTTTCAGTCCAAGCATGAGTACCTCTTCGGTAGATTCGACATGCAACTGAAACTAGTACCTGGCAACTCCGCTGGCACAATCATCACATTCTCATCATGTCCCGCACCTTTACTGCTTCCTACAGGAAATTCAATGCCAATGCCAAAAGAGTTGGTCCTAATTCAAAGTCAACAAGCTCTGAATCTGACAACCAGGCATGGAGTACTCAAGGACTTGATGCAGTTGGCAGGAACATGATTAGATGGGTGCAGAACAAGCACATGATCTACAACTACTGCAACGACCGCAAACGGTTTCCCAATGGTCTACCTGCTGAATGCAAGAAC